CATAGTCTATAAAAAGGCTTTTGACAGTGTCACACATATGAAATTATGGTTACGACTTATTAGATTAGGTGTAACTGGTAAATTATTAAATGTATTAAAATCTATGTATTCAAAACTTAAATGTTGTGTAAAATTTGATGGTAGTTTCTCAAATTTCTTTAATAGTAATGTTGGTTTAATGCAGGGGGAATCATTATCCCCATTTTTATATTCATTGTACGTAAATGACATGGAAATAGAACTTATTAGTCAAGGATGTCAACCTTATGAGTTAAAAATGTTGAACTTGTATTTATTTATGTATGCAGATGACACAGTATTGTTCAGTGAAAATATTGAAGATTTACAAAAGATGATTAATTGTTTAACTGACTATTCTAATAAGTACAACTTATTTATGAATTGTTTAAAAACAAAAATTGTTGTATTCAGAAACAGAGGTCAAGTTAAAGCAAATGAGAGATGGTATTTAAATGGAAATTCAATAGATATGTGTGATGAATTTGTATATCTGGGTATTTTATTTAGATATAATGGTAATTTTACATATACCCAAAAATCATTAGCAAACCAAGGTCGTAAAGCATTATTAAGTTTGTATAGTAAATTGCAGGATGATTGTTTTAATTTTGAAACTATGCTGTCATTGTTTGACACGTATGTAGCAAGTATTTTGAATTATAGTTGTGAAGTTTGGGGAAATCACAAATGTGATGATATCGAACAAGTTCAAATGAAATTCTTAAAACGTATTTTAAAGGTGAAAGCATCTTCTGTTAATTATATGGTTTATTGTGAATTGGGACGATACCCTATGTTTATAGAAAGATATTGTCGAATGTTAAAATACTGGTTTAAGTTAATATGTACTGATAACTGTATTCTTAAATGCTGTTATGAAAAAAAACCAAACGACAAATTTAACTGGGCCTGTCGAATTAGAGACATATTATACATGTATGGGTTCCAGGATGTATGGTTACACCAGGGTGTTAAAAATGTGGATTTGTTTTTAATTGAATTTAAAGATAGAGTAAAGGGTAGTTTTCATAGTGAAATGAACTCATTTTTTTGAAGATTTGCCAAAATGTATGTTGTATAGATATGTATTTGACCCAAACATGTTACAATTTTATTTAGATCATGCTGTAAATTATATTTATAAACCATTTATTTGTAAATACCGCATATCTGCTCATTGTTTGAATATAGAAACTGGTAGATTTTATAATATTGAGAGACATCTGAGACTTTGTAATATGTGTGATAAACATGTAATTCAAGATGAATATCATTTTATTTTAGTATGTGAAAAGTATAATGAACTTCGAAAGAAATTTATCAAACCATATTATTGGAGAAAACCTTCGAATTTTAAACTCGTACAACTGCTATCTGTTCATAATGTAAAGGAACTTAACAATTTAGGGAAGTATTTATTCCTGGCCGAGAAGGCACGTAATTAAATTCATTTATAAATGCTTAATATGTGTTATATTTTATCATACTCTGCTGTACTGTTATATGGGTATACTTACTTATATGATTATTTTACTGATTGTTTAAATGTATTATATATATTTCACTGATGTAATTGAATATTTGTAATATCTATATTCTATAAGTTGTATTGCTTACGAATAAAAGATTATTATTATTCAAGGAATACATCAATTTCAATGAAAAAGACTATAATTACAATGTGTATTCCCTTTACTTATTTTAGGACTCTCTAAAGAAAAACATGGGGAAATGAAATTAAAAAATAAATCTTTAAAAAAAGTCTTTAGCAAATATTAGAACATGGAATAATTTTACATATTGTGGCGATATTCTAGCTTTTTTCATACCATATATACTTATTCAAACTGTAGGCATGTTATGTTATTTCACAAAGATAAAACTTGAAACCTAAATGCCACATGGATAAGTTTTGAAAAACTGACAATTGAACAGGTAAAGTGATGGGACAGCATCAAGGTTGACTCTAAATGCATGAGTGATTACCTATTTTCAACTCTTAACAATATCAACTGGTCAATTTAAATGTCCCAATTGTATTGTCAATTTTACAATCTGGTTTAACAATAGGTTTAGGTAAACATCAACACCTATAGTCAAGTCACAGTAATATTTGCTAAAAACTGCTGATTTAAAAAAAAATCATTTCTCCATGTTTTTCATTAGAGAATCCTAAACCAAGTAAAGGAAATAAACATTGTAATTACACTCTTCTTTTTCATTGAAATGAATGTATTCCTTGAAGTAATTGGCCATACAATTGCCAAAGAAACACAACATTTGGAAGGAAAAAGAGAGATTTTTATTTTACTGTCGTTTCAAATTTTAGGAGTGAGCAAGCCAGAACAAGAATGTATTATGGTTTTTTTTTTCTTGCAGGGTATTTAATTGCATGTCGTATAATGCTTTACATTTCCTCTTAGTGTTTTCATAGCCAAATACTATGAGTGATTTGATTTCTTTAATATTGTTGAAAAGACCTCTTTTATCTCTTTGGCTTTTTCTAATGGGAGATAACTCAAAATATTTTGTTTAAACTCTTGTTGAAATCTAAACTATTTTATAATTTCCATAAATTTCCAGGATTATTAAACACCAGATGTGTGCATTCCTTCATTTAGACATTAGCTCAATACTTATTGACATGAGCCTTGTACAAACTGTTTATGCATAGTGAAATATGAAAATAATAGTCATGAATGAAGAAAGAATTTTATTTATTTATTGACACTGATATTTGATATCCCATCCAGTATTCCAGTTTCACTATTTGAAAGAATTTAAAATATTTTCCTAATTAAACAACATTTTGGAATATTGTTTACGTTTTTTCACTATATCATTATATATTTTTTCTATGGCCACGGTATTCTGTTTAATTTCCTATGATATATATCCCAATTAAACAGGGGTAGAGTCTTTATATAAGATCCAGAATTTTGTAATTTTTGTTTTTTTTCCAATATCACATTCAAAATAATTATCCTCACTTTACAAATTTTTTGGAATACTTTATTTATATTTTTCACTATATCTCTAGATTTGACTATATACACCGTATTCACATTTTATTTCATTTAAATGATATATATCCCATTTAAGCAGGTAAATCATTTTCATTTTCGATCCAGAATGTTATGATTATTTTAAAAATCACATTTAAAGCCACAGAAACATGTTGGATTAACTTATTTCCCCTACTTGCATTCCAGTTTTAATTTGTTTTTTACCTTTTACATTAACTAAATCCCATCTTATAAAAATTGAACTCCCTTGAATGAAAATAGTGTTTTTAAGGACAAAAATCTAAACAGATTTCAAAGAAGAAACACTGCAAGGTATACTCCAAAATTATTTCGAATTTTACATGTAAATCATCATGTGAAAGCCACACAAAACATTTTGAATGAATTATTTCCTCCTTGGTACATTCCTTACAATCCATTCTTTGAAAAAACAAGTCACATTTTAAGAAGAAAAATGAAATGGCATCTAAGAAGTGAAAATAAATCCCAATATTTTATGCACATTAACTCCAATAGATTTCAAATACTGCAAATAATACTCCAAAATGATAAGTTTGAAGGGATATATGAAGAAATGCATAACATATCCATCTGAAAAATGAAACTGAAAACACCTTTTTAGCTATTTCTGGTTTCACTGACAACTGGACAATACTATGTATAAGGGGAAAAAATTTAAAGATTCATTTGTTGTTTAAAAACAGCACCTGATCAGAGGCACCCTTGGTTTAATTTGTTTTATTCATGAAAATTGTGATTGTGCGTTATGGATAGATTACCTAAGTTTTTAATAAAGGCAATAGAATGTGCATGTCAGGAATATGGAATTATGACGTATAGTTTCCATGGTGATAATGACAACACAAGAATTTCGATCATGTTTTCGAATACGGATATAAATAAGCAGGTAAAAAGTAAATCTGGCTCGGCAAGAAGGAGAGACAATAAACGTTTTTAATGACACTAAAAGTAACACAGAAGGTTTGAACGTCGATGATATTGAAAGTATTGATATTGATAATATGAACATTGATGTGTGTACCGTGGATGAATGCGAGGAACGTACAATGAATACAGACATTCCCCTTTTGGGAGCCTCTTCATTCACACATAGTATTCCAACTGAACACGTGGATGAGAATATAGAACGATGTACATTTAATAAACAAGTTACGGTTGATATACCCGTGAAACAGGTTATTGATAGCGACAGGAATTTACAGGAGAGACAATCGAGTGTAAAGAAAAACGTAAACAAATAGTGAAACGTAAACATAGTAAAGAAAATGAAATAAAACAACAAGCGGTTGATAAACGGGATGCAAGGTATGAACATTATTTGCGACTACTTTTTAAGGAGTTTGATGATATAATAGAGACGAATTTTAATACGGATAAAACGAAGGAAGCAATTCAACTGATGATTAACTATGTGAAATGTAAAAAAATGTCGGCATTATAATGAAGTTATTTATACGTCTTTTGTGTGATAGGTTTGCGTGAAGTTTTGTATAATTCTGTGAGTGATTTAATTCATTTATTTTGTTTTGCGATATATACTTAATTGCAAGCGTATTTTTTTATTTTATTTATAAAAAACTTTGACTTCGTTGAATGCGTTTTCAGGAATGGAATCCATCCGCAAACGCTACAAATAAACATTATTGAATTTTTGAATAGACAGTTAAAATAAATGTTGAATACTAGGTATCGATATACGGTGTTATATATAATGAAGTAAATGTAGGATTTGTATGATTGGTATTAGTTGTAAGATGAAAGAATGCTGCAGAATGGTAGTATAAGGACTAGTGCTCTATGTTTTAATAATGGCTAGTGCTGAAAGGGGAGTTAAAACACCAATCAATCAAAACTAAAAACGACAAGTTTTTTTTCCCTTTAAAACAATAAAAACCAATTTCAACTTAGGTCTAAATTATAAATGGTTCCTACCTGATTCGCCTTTTCCTTCTTTCAATGCTTTGGTAAGTCGTCTAGCAAGAACTATTTTTGTTCCTTTTGTGACGAGTCCTCTTGCTTTCAATTCAACTCTCAGTTCTGCAACTCTTAAATTATTTGGATCAATGTCACTCATGTTTTCAGAATTAATGTATGAAACTGAAATAAATGCAAATTGTTTGGTACATAAAATGACGTGGTTAAGCAGCTAAAAATGCACTTGCTCTGCAAAGCTTTTAACTCTACCACCCTAAATTACAAATGGTGTCCAAAGGTGCCACATGGACGGTTTATTGATACTAAAGATTTACGTTACAACTTAAACGAAACGAAATTATTCACACTAAATTTACTGTGATAAAGTATTATTATTTTTATAAAAGTTTAAACATAAACTAAGCACAGAAAACAAAACAGGCAGGAGTAAACAAACAATGACATTACATTGACTTAAAAAAATGCTCCACTGTTTAGTGTTCCGGCATGATTGGGCAATGGATGTGGAAATCGATGCGTCTTTCATTTTGGTTTAAATGAAAATTAAAGTTTTTGTTCTCACGAAAAAAAGTAAATTAACAAAAATACCGAACTCCAAGAAAAATTAAAAACGGAAAGTCCCTTGACAAACGGCAAAATCAAAAGCAGAAACACACCAAACGAATGGAAAACAACTGTCATATTCCTGAATTGGTACAGGCATTGTCTTATGTAGAAAAAATGTAGATTAAACATTGTTTTACAGCTAGCTAAACCTCTCACTTGTATGACAGTCGCGTAAAATTCCATTATATTGACAACAATGTGTGACAAATCAAACAAACATAATAGGTAAACATGTCAAAAATTGGGGTACAGCATTCAACATTATGTTATTATCTTAATCACGATAAAACCAACAACTATGTCAACATTGTGTTATTATTTTAATCTATATCTTAATCTATAAAACCAACAACTATGTCAACATTGTGTTATTATCTTAATCACCATAAAACTAACAACTATGTCAACGAAAAGATGAGTAGGATTTAGTAGATAATTACCATATATATGCATAAAATTAGCGTACCTAACATTTTAACTTTTGACTGCTATTGAAAAATTTAATATTAATACTTATATCATAAATTATTTATATATCTATGTATCTCAATGCTTGGAGTTTTTTCTGATAAAATAAAAAATTACAAAAAAAACTATGTCAACAAAGAAAAACAAAATGGCATGTAGACACTCTATAAAAGTACATAAGAAAAATGAAAGACAGGAATATAAAAAATGACCATAGCACAATAGCACAATGGCGGGATGTATTAATACCGAGCCACGTCAAACGGATATTACCAAAAATGAACTAAACAGTAAAGGTTAAAAATATACAAAGAAAAATAAAAAGAACACTATAACACGTAATTAAGATGATCAACAATGTGCCCTAGGGCGCTGTAGTATTAGTCTTATCGCAATTACATAATTTTCAGAATTTATACAAATGTCAAATAAAGCACATTTATTTAAAAGTTGAGTGGTGCATAAGAAGTGAATTATTTAACATTATGTATAATAGTCGATAGCTTCTTTGTTCCTTTTAAACTACATTTTTGACAAATATTATATAATGAGTAACATTGTTTTTTTTTATCTGTCCAAGGATGCGTCATTGACTAAAGTTAAATGAGCGAACCAAAGTACAGTTTACATATCAGTCAAAGATATTGTTTTATTGATAGAATACAAACTTATCAACCTGATATGTTTACTTTTTCTTTTTATGTGCCTTGCTTAAAATTTTAGATGAGAAATCTTCCCTGTTTTATTCTACTGCCAATACAACTAATATCACATCGCCGTTAACTGTAAGAAAGAATCATCGTTTAAAAATCATAACTTTTACAGGTTTAATCATCAAATTATACAAATTTACCGGTAATGATAGCATCTAAAATGTAAATTATGCTATTTTGTTTTTGTTTTAAGTTTAATACGAAATATACTGTGCGACCATATGACCAAGACTGAGTTTTTTTTTAATTTGAATATCTATTTGGTACCTTCTGTCTCTTTTGCTACTCAAAGTAAAATTTCTCATGCATATTCAAGACGATAACATGATCAGATTAAAGGTTGATACCATGTATTAAACACCTGTTGGAGATACAGGAGTGTGTCCTTAGTCAGAGGTTAAGCTAGCTATAAAACCAGGCTAACTCCACCATTATCTACACAAGGAAATGCCTGTATCAAGTTTTGATTTTTAGCTTTTGATTTTGTCATTTGTTAAGGGACTTTCTGTTTTGAATTTTCTTTGGAGTTCGGTATTTTTGTTATTTTACTCTTTAAATATTGTTAAACATGACCTTTCTAAATGTTCTTATTTGTTTTCTTTAACTGGTATATGAAACTTCCATTGCTGAAAGTAAATCTAATGGGTTATCTGTTAATACACTTACCAACTAGTTTTATATTATAAAATACATTTGTTATAACTTTAAAGTTTTCCTTGTTTGTTATGGTCTTTTGTATTCAGTTTCTTTTTATATTATGACATTATCTACAATTTCGGCTTATTGTCAGAATATTCATCTCAGGTAGCATTGTTGATGTACCAAATGTTTTAGGGTCATTGAATTTTCCCTTGGCAAATATCACAATGGTTTCAAAATTTTAGAAATCATTTTAAATTAATGAATGTATCGCCCTCATGAGTAGCTCTGATTCTTTGTCTGGATTTTGCTTTACTTTAGGTCCTTTTTGGTTTGATCAGCTTTTCAACGTTTGTATTAAGTTTGAACTTTTAGATATTTGTCATTGAGTATCACCGAAGAGACATTAATTGTCTAGATTAGCTTAAGATGCAATACAATTGGGACCGTTTATGGTATTGCAATATGAAATAAAGATCAAAAGTATAGATATATCATCTGTCAAGTAAAGGCAACAGTAGTTTATCGAGGTTAAAAAGTCATAAATAAAGAAAGAAGATACAAATAAAGGTTAAAAACAAAAGATAAGGGAATCAAAAAGAGCAAAATCGGGTGCATACAAAAGTAAGGCGTCTTGCCTTATGCATATATCTCCTTTCTTGCGAATCCACATTCAATCAAAATGTCACAATTGGGAATAGGACACAATCGCCAAATTTGAAGATCAACAATTCTGTATCTAGAGACCGCTAAACATGCCGGCTGTGATTTTAGATATAGCTTCCACCAATTCGTGATGTTGGCTGTTCAAATGTGTTGTGTCGAAATCAGTCATTCTTCCTCATAACTTTGTGTAATCCGTGCCTGTGTCAGGTGCAGATTCCTAGTAATGAAGTCTTTATAATGTAAACAAGATTTAGATATGTAAACGCCATACGATAGGACATATGGTTATGTTACTGTTGAGAAATGACAGGTTGATTATTTGAATGTGTTAATCATCGAAGCCATCCTAATTCAAATGCTGTTATACAATACTAGATTGAGACAGTGGAAAGGCATCTTTTCCTGATAAGACGCTCATGACCAATACTTTCCTTTATATTATTGAAGTGTGATTCTTACAGAATATAAAAAAATAAAGGCAACAGTAGTATACCGCTGTTTAATAGTCATAAATCGATTAAAGGAAAACAAATCCGAGTTACAAACTAAAACCGAGGGAAACACATCAACTATAAGAGGAAGGCAACGGAACTACAGAAACACTGAACCATTCAAGTTTTCCTTACCTTAACCTTCAACTATCTCTAAATCAATAGCAGCTTTACCATCTCCATATTTTCTTTTTTTTCTCGCCAGCCTTACATCTTGATACCAGTCCTAGGTAAACGCCAAACCCCATTACGTACCATTTACAATTCACACAAGTATTTTATTGACATGGTTTTATAGTTTTGTAGATAACGTCTCAGTTTGATATTTTATTCTGAAAATGCTTTTTAAATAGGTCAAACAAGTTTTCGAAAATTCACTTAAGATCAATAAATTTGTCAAATTGAGAGAAGTATCTTTTAAAATAATGTAAAGAGGGTTTATCACATACCATTTATTGTTCACAAGAGTATTTAATTGACAAGATTTGATAGTTTTGGAGATCACGTCTCAGTTTGATAAGAGACTTTTCGTATTGAATTTTCCTTGGAATATTTTTTTATTTTACTTTTCTTTGATATTGTTTCTAATATTTTTTTTTAATAAGGTCAAACAAGTTTTCAAAAAATTCACTTAAGGTAAATAAATTTGTCAAGTACCTTGTAAGATAATATAGAGAAGGTTAATAAAAAAATCATAAACTCGTTTATTGAATAAGTTTTTTTAAATAAAAAAAAATTAATTGAAATAAAGATCATTGCACAAATAAACGAGAGAGAAAAGCCATCACAACAAAAAATTTCGAAACTTACTATAGTAATTTATGAATTAAATTTCCCTCCATCCAGGACGTTCAAAAGTTTTTACTACGAGACCTAATAACTTATTGTGGTATATTCCTTTTTTAGATTTATATTTTAAAAGCAAGCCCTAGAATCCGGTTCTGTTATCTTTGGTTTACATTTGCTCGATTTCTATTTGTTTGTGGTCTTTGTGAAATCCTCATTTAGTAGTCTAGTTTGAAGATTCATTGGTTTAAATGTTTAAAATGTCGATCTAGAACGATGTATAGGTCCCCTGTAATAACATGGCCATAAGTTTTATTTCTAGGTTTTAATGTTTAACAGTCATGTGTTGAACGAGAATTATATTTTATGCTGATGTACATATAAAAAAATGAACTTCTACTTGCCTTTTTGTACGTATACGGACTTACATGTTGTTCTATGTTGTCCAAATAAAATGGTATAAAGTTTTGGACAATGGAGTCTTCAAAAATACTAGAAAGGTGTATAAAATCAAAACCTCAATTATTTTTGTTCTCTATTTTAAGAAAATGCTTTTCATGCATAAAAAGCTATAGTCATAGACACTTTTAGAGAGGACTGATTCAAGGATATTAATTCGTGTCATTTCTTAACACCAAGAAAGAGAAGTAAGTTCAGCTATAACCGTGTGAATTTTACCTTCAATGTTTTCAAAACACTTCGTTTTCATATGTCTTTACACCTTGGAAGTCATATCTAAGCTGTCCATTTTAATAACTATATTTCAGTATTTTTTTTTATATATGGTTTGTCATTTAAATCTTAATTTCATTATATATCAATCTATAGAGCAAGTGCCAACTCAATAAGCGAAAGAAAATAAAACACTTTAAATGATTGAACCGTTTTTAAAGTCAAGCTTGTAACTAACTCAACACTGAGGGATTGTGTCAAAAATGGAGTATGGAAAGCATTAAATGATTATCCTGAATTGTAAATGCACGTAATACATGCAATGATTTTCCCGAGTTATCACTACACATATCTAGGAATGATTAAATCGATGAAAGGTTGGCCAGTTTGAGCTTTGATTCGACCAGCTGCAACTATCAACATGTTATCTGTACTTTTTCTAGCTTCCACCACAGATTCCTAGGAATTATTTCGATGCCACTGCTCATGGACACTTTGTTCCAGAAAATATCAAGATATCAAGCAAATATTCTACTTTGGTAGTATATCCTTAATATC